ATTTTTTTCGGTTTAGCAGCGAGATTCTTAAGCGATTTTTCCTTATTCCGGTACCTCTATGGCTGGTTCCCTTCGGATTGGTGACTCAAGTATTTGGAAGTGAAGTAGAAATACGGAACACTGACGCACACACCTACTTATATTCTAAAAACTTGCCCTACGGAAAAGTTGAGCCTTTTACTAGAGATTCATTAACGATGTATTTATAGTTGCTAACTTCTTGTTCCGGATGGAGGCAGCGTTCGATTTGAACATTGAAAGATTGCTCAGCTATAGTATCGAATAGCTTCTAATGCAACGAATACGAACCATGTCGTTCCCTTCTGATAAGCTGTCAGAAATCGGCTGTTTTATTCTTTCCAACAACATAATTGTTCTTTAATTAATATCCATATATTATATAGTTCGGTTATCACGCTACGGCAGAAGCCGATACTCTTCATTGTAGGCATACAGCGGGGCTTTTGCTCGCTTTGTCGCTAGTTACGTGCGCCTAAATATGCATCGTAAGCCTCCGGCCTGTAGGCCTGCGACATTACCGACGGACGATCGACAACATAGCTCTCAGAACAGATAGAACAAAAAGAATAAACTTATAATTTGCGTTGAGAAAGACCAATTTTGAATAGTATAGGAATGAATCAGATGCCAATTACCTATAGAGTGATGCTCAGCAGTCTCTATAGTTAGCTGAGCTGATCAGCCGTTCGATCACATGGGTCTGTCTGAAAAGGTTGATTGTTTCAAAGGGGAAAAATTGTCTTTTCAGCTATCAAGAGGTATAGCAGCACTCTCTTTTCTTCTCTGGCATTCTCTTTGATTGCCCGTGTTTCGGGCCCCAAATGGTATGCAGGGCAAACAGCTTATTCGCCCTGGTTCCGGAAACGTGCGGACTTACTTAAGTTTATTAATGAAAGTCCTAAAGATTGGCTCAGTGCAACAATTTTCCTCGGAACGTCTGATTACGAAACCTTATTAGTATTACAGCCAGCACTGGCATTTCGCATTTTCTTTTAATCGATTCGTTTACTCGTTAATAGGTACGTGGCTACGTGTAAACGAGACCGAATGCAACTAAGACGCGTCGATCACTGTTCAGATGGGCCTAACCATACGTGTTGCCGTTAGCGAACCAGAACAGGCCACAGCGCCAACGGCTGTCACTGGACAAAAATGTTATGTTGCATAATTAACACTATAATAGTCATGGCAAACAGGACTAGTAACAAACAACAAGGCCAATTTCAGCTGGTCTAAACTAGCACGCACTTGAACATCGTACCCGTCACGATTGATCTCATTAACAGCGGCAGTCACAATGAAATAACAAGAGACAAGAGATTGCATCATAAACATGCCTCGTTCGATTGTATGTTATGCTTTTATTTCTGTTGTGCCCACTGCTCGGACGCCGCCGCCGCCGCCGCGGCAGTCGCGTCTCTTTGGCGTTATCTTTGCGATAGCGCACATTAGCGGTTGACCATTCTACTGACAAGCGTCATCCGTGTAAACTTCATCGCTAGGTCTGTTTCTCTCGTTTGTTGTATTTTCAGTTGATTTTATGTCAAGTAGCTACTGCAACGACCATCATTGCCATTTCGATATGTTTGTCTATCTGTCTGTCTGCACTGTTTCCGTTACAGCGGCTCTTTTCTGGTTCCGTATTGTTCGCTGACCAAGAGCAAAAAACACACTCGCGCACCGTCGCGCGGTGCACGTCACGCTATCGTGCCGTAGAAGGAACGTGCACGTACAACGCTGCTGCCACTTACACGATGTTGCTTGGAGGCCGCGTCAGCATCAGTTGCTATTGGCTGGCTACAATGCTGGCAAGTGGCATTGAAGCCGAACATCTCACGTCGCTTGAAAAATAGGGTCCGTTCAGCCAGCCGCGTTCTTTCTTTAAAAGCACGAGTTCGCTTCCGATCTTGTCTTATTACATATCGTTACTATTGCTATTATTAAGGCTATTGCCGTTATCGCTGCAAGGATAGACAGCTTGTAGCATTGGCACGCAGCGGCGTCACGCACTATACGATAACGTGGCAGTGCCCCATTGAATTCGCTGTATAAAAATGCATGTTCGTATAGAGAAATTGTATGGATTCGATTATTGTTGTTGTTAATCTTGTTTCCTTTATCGCACGACTCATTGTCACTATTGCTACCGCTTACGACTAACATAACGGCGACTGATAGAAGCAACATCTTTCCTCTCGCTGAAGTGACTCACAAGCGACAGTTGGATATTTACCCGTAATGCAGCCCTCTGATAGCTAGACATCCTCGCTAAGAACATTTGCAGGAAAAAAAATAGCGGGAGAGGTGCAGCCGCTGTATCTAAATTGTATTCCGTGGTAATCTGCGCGCTCTTTCAACATTTATGCGCGAATTTTATGTTTCCAAAGCATTGCTTCCCTTTTGGCGGATCTGTGTATTGCAAGCATGCTATCCTATGGCAGTACCATCCCTTACACCCCTATGCGCTTCCCAGTATTCTCTTATTATAACATCAGTAGTAATAAACTACAAAATAGCGCAGAGATTGATTTTCACTCGTCGCTATCAATCCCGATCAGTTGTGGTCGGGTCTTTTTTTTCTCTGCATTGTGGATTGAAACAAAGAGCGGATTGAACGTTTCGGTCGTCACCGTGGCCATCGTCGGCGTCGCTCGATGTTGCCGCTACCACAGCTGCCGCCGTCATTTGTGTTCACTATTTATCGATGTATACCAGCGAAGTGAAATCGCGAGAGGCAGTGGTAATATTCTGGAAGCCACACCCTCCTCCGATATCTCCGTCGGTACTCACCTTCTGGAAGAAAGGCTTTTTGTTACTCGTGAAGTGGAGCCCTTATCGTGATTATAATCTCAAGTGATAATATTATTGAAATATAGAAAATAAAAATAACGAAGTTGCCAATTATAGCAACTGGAACAGCTGTGCCGGCAGAGTGACAACGTCAAAAAGGTTTCGCCAAGATTAACATTACACATACAAGAGCTCAACAACGCTTGAACATAGACACAGACAAGCACGCAGGCACGTACGCCGATAATACGGTCTAGCAGCTACTGTTTACTATTGTGAACGAACGTTTGTCTGTCGGAATGTATTCTATTCGTGGTACTTTTCTACCGTTGTAAACGTTCCATCCGTTAACTCTATCAGGAGCGTTTTGCTGTACCTATTCAACGTCCGTCTTCCTAGCGGCGCTCACGTCGGCTAACGTATATGCATTCGCTATTGTAACCTGTTCTCCGTGCTGTGAGTAAAAGAACTACGAAGTACGAGCAAACAATGGCCGACTGCTCATCGAGGGCCAATCTTCCTACCGCCTTCGCTTTCTTCTTCTGCTTCTACATGAGGCTCTATTTCACTGTATCGGTGATTAAAGAACTGTCGCTATCGGCACATTGAATGCTTGAATCAAAAGCCTATTCGAGCTATTGTTACGGTAATGGCGCCCGTAACTGCACCAGCCGCCGCTGTGACCACGCCGCTAACTATGCCGCCAACCATATTCTAGAAGTGCAGTCTTTTGCTACCTGACGTCTATTGGATAGCTCAGCGTTTGCACTTATAGACGGTAATGTTAATTTGTATCATTGTACATTTTCTGCAAGGGTTGTTACTTGTCAATCGGGCAGAGAACTGGATAGCCAAATTAAAGTATAGCCACTTTCGATGAATTTTTGCAAATTCATATCTAAGACAAAAGTGTCTAAGGATTTAATTAATACAGCCAGTTGATAAATCATTCAAATTAATTAACTGACCTAACGTCTTTGTCTGGAATACGATAGACACTGGTGAGATCTTTAAAGGAGTCGGTAGCAAGCGGGCTTATTTCTAAAAGCATAGCGTTCGCTCATTTTCTCTTTATGTGCGGTGTGCATTAATCCTTTTATATATTCATATATGTTTATGGGCGTGTACGTTTGTGTGAGAATCTCCCAACAAAAATATGTCACTCTCGTAAATAATGAAGTTACCGCCGCTTGCGGCGGACGCATCTTGGAGTGGGGCTAGACACTCGCGCGGGATTGCCTGACTAGCTTTCTGCGCACTTGAGCTTTGACATTATCCTAACAATCTTTCATTTAGTAGACATGGTCGACCAGTCGGCGCTGTCTTGCAACGACAGACTTTTTTGTTAAAATTGCACATAGCGAATACCGCTTGATTGTAGGGTGGTGAATTTTCAGCACTTGCGTCAAATACTCCAGGACCAAAAGCAGCAGCAGATGCTCGCCTTACTTCTTTCGGTCCACAGCTGTGGCAGTAACGCCAGCGGCTGATTTCTTAGCTGGCCGACAAGTTTTGTCACCTATGGGTATTGCTAGCGATTCGTTAGTTCCCTCTGCGGGGAGCGTTCCTTGCCGTCCCTTATTGCAAATGTTGACTTTGATAGTGCTTCAAGCAGAGTCTTTTACCGTTTCTCGGCTAGTCAGGGAGCATTGGAACCTGGCTCCCTCTTAGCTTGTTTGTTGACGCTCAGAACATTCCTCTTTTCAGGCTTTCGACCGCCTCGGATTTATCGGCCTGGCCAAACGTGAATGCTTGACGAGGCCTGGGGCCAAGGGATGACCTTTGCGGTTTCAACTGGCCCGCAGCCGTCATCGTCGTCTTCCACTTTTTCACCCGCTTCCTGATGACATGATAATCTTAGTAGCCCTTCGGCCGCTACTAGGGCCGTTGCCTCGCCTTCTCGAGGGACTCGACTTCATTTCCTTGTTGCTGTCACGTGGTGACGGCGGAAAGATGTCTCTTGAGTCGTGCTGACAACATTCAGCATTGGCGTTCACCGAGTGGCGAGCTTGCCGGTTTCTTTTTTCAAGCTGCTGACCACAACTGACATGTAGATGATTGCTTATATGTGCAAATGTGCGTCTCTGCGCGTATGATTTTTTACGGCAGTGAGATGCCGATGCTATTAGGCGCAGGCCCTTTCGTGAAACCCATAGTTGACTCCTTTTTCTTTCATCGATGAATTTCAGGCGTCCATGGGAGCCCTCGGGGACGATCGGCTTCAGATGCTGCTTCAGCAGCAGGCGCTAGCGCTCAGGGTAAGTGTTCCATCTTAAAATAATATGATTATTTTTTAAACTATTTATGATACAATGAGGAAAAGAGTAGTATGCCTCATGATAGTCAACTGTGTGCTGTTAGAGATTTCAGCAGTGTTCCAAGGTTAAATATATCCAAAGAGCACATATCATCTCTCTGCGTCTCTGTCTCTCTCTCTCTCTCTCTCTCTCTCTCTCTCTCTCTCTCTCTCTCTAGGCTGGGAGAGAGGGGGAGAGAGAGAGAAGAGAAAGACTAGAGTGGACTGAACATGTTCTTTTGAAGCTCCGGTATGGGAAAGCAACGTTTCAGCGTGTGTTTTCATTGCTTCGTTCGTTCGGCCCAAGAAGCTTAATCTGCACCCTACAACCGGTTTCACAGTATTGTTATTGTATCATGGCATTTAGCATCAACTTCATTAATAATTTTACGAATGCAGCATTTTGAATCGTGAACTGTTTCTTCTTATAGACTCTGTCCCTTATATAGCCCTAGAGGAAAAATGGATGTGACACTTTCATGCATTAGGATTAGTTAACTTGAGACATGGTTTCAAGCAGACTGACTGTCCATCGCACAGCCTGGCAATCTTCTTTATTTTGTTAAATTCAAGGGTTGTTTGCCTCCAGTTCCCTAATTTAGGTCCATAGACAGATTTGTAACATATCACACCAGAGTACGCAATTGATCGCTGCTGCTGTTCGATCATCATTTTCGAGGATAACAATCCCAACAATACCTCCTTCCTTCAGAAGACACTGTCGACCTAATGTGAGTGAAGCGACACTCATTCCTGGGTTCTCTGACCCCCCAAATATAATAACATTGTTAATTTACGTAGTCATTGAGCTGAAATGACCTTTATCAGAGAAGATGACACTTACAGGTATCACCGTAACGAACGGACCATCTCGGTAGTAAGTAAGTTCGTACGAAAAGCTGTTGCTTTCCGTTTTCGCGAACACACGCTGCTGTGTTTATTGTCTGCTCTTTTGCAACACAGACGAAATCGATCTTTAACTCCATATCCATATATATGGGCTAAGGCTTAAAAATTAAACTATATGCAAGTATAAGTAATACGTAATTGTCGGAGGCAGTTACTATTTGATGGCGTCTGATAAAATAATGACTTCTATGCACACTTGTCGTTATTTTTGGGGAACCTGAAGCCTATTTAATTGTTGATTGGTTTAGCCTATCGAGCCACTCAACCTCTCTAGGACGCAGCCAAATGAAAAGAAATTTAACATGTTATCAAGCAGAATTTGGTTTCAGCGCATTGCCTTGCACCGATGTTGTTGCTGTTGTCACCGTTGCGTATTCCATAGGTGGAGCTGTTGGGTCTCTTGTGTGGCGGGTGTTGTTGTTTCGGACACAACCTTTCTGACGACATCTGTGTGTGCATATTTAGGTATCGGGCAGTGTTTATGCCTATACGTGTGCATTTGCCTGATCAGTTCGTCATTTCTGATTTCTTGGCTTTCATCATTTCGTCGTCGCTGTAATGTCAAAGATTTCTGATAGAGAAAACAGGCAGACATACACCGCTCGACCGAGGAAAAATATGAAGGTTAATCAACACCTGTACGTTGGCTTCAATCCATCGATCTATCCAAGAATGCAGCGAACCAGTCTCACACCGCGAGCCGGATACCGTAGTGAACTTTTAAATCTGGAATTGGATTAGATGGGGTGGAGACGACGATGACAACGAGGCGGCAGAAGCAGTAAAAAGCAAAAAAGCGAGCAATCATGGTCACATTTGACTCCTCACAGGCAGGCGGACAGAAACTAGTCGGCAGCCTCGGGATGTTGCGGTGGCGACAGTAAAGCAGCAGCAGCTGCTAGAACAGCCCCGATGTTCGTAGCCGACGCCGTTTATGCTGCGCCGTAAGAAAGCCAGCGTAATTCGCCGTGTTTGATTTGGTCTGCTTTTTTCGTTTACCTTGGCCATCCAAATCCTCGTCGCCATGATCATCATCGACATGTTCTGTTTCTTGTTCCCCTTTCTTCAGTCTCGGCAACAGCCGCTGCTTCTTTTACTACTGTAGCTGTGTAACGTGTCGCTTGCATTTGTCTGAGGCTGGGTCTCAGCATGCCGTAGTGATGACGGCGTTGCAGCGCAGGAGACAGGCAAGAGCAGACGAAGAGCTTTTGCGAGTTCCTCTCCGGCGGCAACAAATGTTTGTTACCAAATCGAGGGGATGGGAGGGGACGAGTTCACCGATCGACTTTGACGACCCAGCAGAACTGGAAACAACGACAAGCACAGCGACAGCACGACCCGATGGCGGCAATAGCGGCAGTGAAGCTGAGGGATCTTTTTGGAGCGGTCGATCGATCGCTCGCTCGCTCGCTCGCTCGCTCGCTCGCTCGCTCGCTCGATCGATCGATGACATATATAGTTGCAAGTTTTTTCGAACTGCACAGCCATCCAATGTCGCTTTAGAATTTCTTGGATTCGACGTGTTCTACCGCGTTAGTACATCACGCACCTTGTTCTTTGACTTAGCCTTATCTATATAGCTACTTTAGACCGACATCACATGCACCGATGAAAATAAAGACATTTTGTTCTCAACGAAGTTACTGTCGTGTCTAATTTCCTCGTGAAGGTCGCCACATGTTCTCAGCACCGTCAACACGGAGAGTACTAAACCCCCTGCCTGCGAAGGTTCCGTCCTTCCTTATGTAAATTAATCAGAGTGGCACCAGCATTTATTATAGATTAGCGCTTCCAGCTGTTTCATCCGTCACTGACGTCGAGCGTGGTGCCTTAAATTTTTATGAAGGCACGTGCTCAGTGGCCCTTTTAGTTGTACGTGTCGTTGACATTAGGATATGTGGAGTTTGATCTTCTGACGGTGTTTGTCGATTTGATCCGACGAAGAGCTCCCAGATCGTTTAATGGGTAATATCTGTCTACGAGGATTTAGTTCTCATCTAGATGTGTGCAAGCACATAGACGTAACATGAACGTTTTCACTATAAGCCGAGCGTAATACTGGGCTCAATTAGATCCGAACAGGCTAGTAAATCAAAAGAGGGATTAAGTAGAAAAGTTAGTGATTCGCAAACTGTTGGGGAACGGAGTAGCAAAACAAAGGAAAATCTACTCGGAGAACGAGACTGATCGAAAATGAAACGGTGGGGTGGCAACGAAGAACCAACACGACAAGAGGACAATAACAATTAGTAACTATTCTATTATCATCGTGTCTTAGTGAAACGGTCATTACATTTCCATGGGGATAATAGCTTTAATGAGTAGCTGACATCGTCACAGTTACCACTAGCAGCACTATCGCGGAAATGCAGGAGCGTGCTCGTTTGTCGGATTTCATCGTACCAACAACATACGCACACAGTACAGAATAGACGGGGTCACGACTCTGTAGTATGGCATCAGCACCGTGTCCTATTCAAAAAATAAGAAGAATCTGAGGGGGGAACGCAAATGATCATATTAAAGACACGCTGGGGCTAATAAAATAACAATTACTAACATTATTATACTAGCCTTACTAAAAAGCGTGTTGTTAATTATCGATAACTATAATAAGGGATGCTACAATGACATAGTGAGTAGAGATTAGGTAAAAGTACAATATTAATTTATCGATGTTTGCTGTTTGTTGGAGCAACAGCATACGCTACATGTGGAACAAGAGGGAGCTCTCGGTCGCACGCTCGATTACAAAAAACAAACCAGCCAGAATGGTTTTGATGGCGTACATCATGAAGGGTAATCGATTGCCACACACATGTAATGCGTTTTTTAAAATAATAACATAATCACAATATTTCACTATGTCCAACAAGCAGGCCCTTCATGTCGAACGCTGCCTACCACGGAACTCTATAACTGTGCTAGACAAACGTGATCTTTGAATGGCCTTTAGCCGTAGAGACGAACTTCTTATGGACATAGTGTAACTGATCGCTCATTGAAAGTTAGTTATTAATTTATGTCACGATGAGTGGATATATTAAAACACGAAAAAAAAAAATATATATATATATATATATGCTTTGTAGGTAAGACTTGATCAAAACAAAAGCAGACACTTCAATGAAACGTTTACGGCTATATGCTAAAAGTGTTATTTGTAAAGGTCAGTTCTGATTCGTATTGACAGCTTCGATCCGAGACCTAAACCTAGTCGTTTCCGAAATATTACCTTTTTTACTACGCTAATAGATGTTTAATAGTAACTGTGCATCAAGCGATATCGCTAAACGTAATTTTGATTAGAAAAGAAAACTCCACCACAGTCAATTTGTGAGGTATCACAAGCCAAGCGTCCCATGAATGTAACATCTCCAAATGATAAAAAATGCAAAAGGAGCGACACTTGGAGGCCATTTAGATAATCGATCGGGCAGAAACACTCTATTTTTTCCCAAGATGGTCTCTAACTTCTGTGTCTAATGATACAGGATTAGTACAAATGGCTTTTTGCACCATTTGGAGAAGCTGTCGAACTCTTCAAACTCGAACTCCATTGAGGCTTTTCTGACTTGCCTAATGACAATATTTCATGGGCTCTTCGGAAGCCGTCCGTATGGAGACCTACATTAACGTTAATTAACGGGCTCCCTCCTAAAGAGATGTCGCCGTCAGAAAAGAAAGTTTCGAGCCGTCGAGTAGTCAACCTGATCTCTATTTTATGCACCCTTTCTGATCGTAAATATCCGCAAAACGATTTTATACCAATGATCTATTAAATTCACAGTAAAATAATCGCTCATTCTGATATAACCTGCGCCGGCATCCCGACAACGCCATGCATAAAGATCGAAAATGTCTACTTTACGTATTCTACCAAAAATGCTCTTTTAGCAGTAATCTGTGACCTTAGACGGGTTGTGGTCACTTTCGCGTCAACAATGTATCGAAAGATGCCAATTAATCCATTTGTCATATTTATTTTTGCATGCTAGCGATAATCCCATATGTTTGGATCCCCAGGCCACTCTACTGGCGTACTTTGTTGCCTTTTTCTTTTCACAAATAGGACTTCGTTATTCAGGCCGCTGCTGCTACTGCTGCGGTTGCCTTCGCTGTGCGTGCATACACAGTTGTGACGCTAACCTGTTTCTGATGAACAGTTTAATGATGATTGTTGGTGTACGTTATTGCTCTATCTAACCGAATTCAAGATAACACAGCAGACAGGAATAGAAGGAAGAAAATAGGGACAAGGAACGTATTTGCGCGCAGTGGATCCACGCGCTTCCCCTGCTCGTCTGTCCTAACTGCGATGTACACTTGTATCACTTTTAAACGAGGCTGTTGTCCGAAGTACGGAAAATGGAAATATAGCATCGTTTATCCTTATTATAGTTGCGACGACAATGATTCTATCCTCGAGTAAGCAAAGCCAACCATAGCAACAATGACGCGACATCGTTCCGTGCAGCAGCGACGGCTGACGTAACATGCCGAGCAGCATAACAGTTGTATCAGTTCATTAAAGGAAACATTTAGGCGTTTACAACGGTAAAAATATCGATATTTACGAATAAAAACATCAATTGAGACGTTGTTTGCGACCACTGATGCCTCACCGCTGTCCGAGGTGCAACAAATGCTTTCGCAGTACGGCCCTACGTTTCTCTACCTACATGCACACACGGAGAGACCAACGTACGATTAAGGCACGCCACTACTGCGATCAGTGATTATGAACGTATTACTCTACCTACTATGTATAGATGCAGGGCGGCCGACGAGTTTCTGTATTTAGCAGTAACACCTATGCAATGCTGGTGCTCGTTGTTCTAACGTAGCTGCTGCTGCTATTTTCGTTGTCCGAATCGTTAAACGACTATTACTACTGTTGCTGCCGGACCACTGCGGCGATGGTCGGCCGCATCTGTTTGCAGTATCGACGTATCATCGATTGGTGGGGTTGTATGCGCGTGCGCACGCCGGCAGGCGAACGAGCGATCTGGCTAGCTAGCAACCGAAATAATCACTCCATGATTATACATATACGTATACAAACACAAAACGCATAGTTGTATGATGAACGTGACACGTTCTCTGTGATACTTTTATGGAAATATCACTAACAAGGGTCGGATGAATCCATGCAGAACGGCCACCAGTCGAATCTAGATTGGCTGCAGCAGTAGTAATGACGCCAACAAAAGCTCCTAACGGCAATTAGATGGAGACTAAAGACACGTAAATAGCAAATACGTCGTCTATGGCTTTTGAAGCAGCAACGGTTGCAATGTTCCAAAATTGTCGATTGAATGAACTTAGCCGATACGAGAAAGCGAGACATGGGCCTGAGCTATAGATGGCCTGCTCCGGTGGCGTAGGGGTAAAGAGACGAACCCGCAATAAAAAAAAATGCACCATATATATCGTTTCGTAAGATGATCTATTATCTAATCTGTAGACGCTGCCCGAAACCCTAGTTACTTTTTCCGACTGATCGAACTATACAATGTACGGCGTCACATGGAGGCGCATGTGGCTGTAGTAGGTTCCAGTACAATACAACAGAGAACCCATGACTAAAAGAGAACAGCGCGGACTTTGAAGTCAATCTCTGCCGTCGAAAATACTTTCCTAGTAATCCTTCTATTTCGGCTAGAGCGCTAGTAAACAAATTCGATGGAAGTGAGCGTACAATGCTGTGAATTGTTCACGATGACCTCAGGCGTACGTCATACGTCGAACGATCCAGCTAGATGCTCTCTGAGGAGAATACGCCAAGGAATTTGATCGGCCCTGTTTGATGCACCACACTATCAAGAGCCAAGCAACAGCTGATCACCAGCTTCTCCCTGAAAAAAATTATACGTGATGCAATAATCCCACGATTAGAAGATGTACCTATTGTAGATAGAAGCAAAACTTCGGCAGGAGTTCGTATCTCGAGTACGGCGTCTAATGAAGGAGACGTTACAACACCCTACTTCTTGCCGAAAAGTAAACGCTTCGGGAGGAAAAATTATTTATATGTTTTACAAACTGTTAGGTAACCGTCAAGAGCTGATATCACACATCTTCTAAAAGGGTGGTGCGCGGACTCGTAAAAACCAATTAGCACGAAATTGACTGTTTAAGAATACGAACATGCTTTGCGATGAGCACATATGGCAGCCGGATAGCCCAATTTGAACTCAATAAATCATTAAACCCAATAAATTACCACGACGTGATCTACCGCATTTTTTTAGGTGCGTCACCAGAGCAAGCACAACCCCAAGTGGTCTGTTGGGGGAACCCTGTATCAGACTAACAAGATCCACTCCGGTTAGATTGCTAATGAGGGATAGTCCTTGACGCTATACCTAAAAATCGGAGACTTTAAGGACTTTTTCTAGGAGAATAGTAACTAACAAAATCAAACAAATGTTAGAAAAAACAAACAAAAAGAAAGTAGGTAAGCGTCCAAAAAGGTTTTCACATAACAGCGACGACGCGACCACTCTTGCGCTCAAGGAAACATTCGAAGAATTGTAAAGCACACAATTGAAATGAGTTCGTCGGCGATTTAACACCCCAGTAAATTCTGCACCCTCTGTAAATGGTAGTTTATAACATAGTAAACATAATGGCGAAGAGCGACAGTTCTAACATATGTAAACGTTTCTGTTGAAATATGTACTCTTATTTAGATAGAGTTTTATTATTTCGATAGAGTTTTAAAAGAGTGTCCCTTTTTAGGTGCCGTGCCCTCTATACAAATCTATATGTATAGAGAAATAGGTACCATGCACAAGTTCGATTCTAGCCATGAAATTGATACATCTGAAGCAATATATGCACGACATAGAGAAAAAATTATCTAAAAAACATGAAGTACAGGGTGGTAGATGTACGGCACATATAGAATATAGACACACATACAGCATCAGCAGTAGTTGTGGCTCTCATCTATTTGTCTTTTCGTCACCATTTTTTTCGCCTATATTAAGAGAGTGGGAGTAGAAGTTTAGAGCGCGAGGGGGGCAGAAGCACAATCTGCAGAGGACCCCATAGTTAGACTCGAAACTAGAGCTAAAGCCCTGGGACGGGATTTGTGAGTCACTTAGTGATTCTTTGTGTTCCCCAAATCCCTAATGTACTTCTCTGAGGTGCATAGCTGGAGCCAAAGGGACGAGGTCGTCTGTTCATATTGACGATAGAGCTGATTCTCTCTTAGAAGTGGATCGAGGCGAAGACCTCGTTAACGGTAAATCGAAGGGGAAAGAAAAACGCACCAACCGAACAACATTGGGGATCCGTCCAAGTTCTTCGTGCTTTGACTATCTGTTCTGCCGCTTACGGGATGAACGTAGGGCTTCGGCATGCTTTAATTATTTTTATGCGAACGAACATTGCGAGATGAGAGGCCGTCTTAACGGCGGCAGACGTAGGAGCAGATAAGTAAAACTACCAATCGCAGGACGTAGCCAGGTTCACCAATTAAATTATCATTTACACCAAGATCAAGTATCCAGGAGAAATTGGCTCTAAGTTGAAGTTCGATTTTTCCTCACTTACTCCCCGTTTCTTTGCTCCTCTTTTTATTTTTCTTGATTCTGTTCTGTTGCTTACGGTGCGTATGCCAGCGAGCTTCCCGAGCTCTTCGATTACGGTGGCCTTAAGCGTTTCGAGTATGCCACAAAAAAAATCGAGCATAGTTTTGTCGATAATGCAACTACGATGAATGATAAAACACTTTATGTATAGAGATCGAACAAAACGAGTGCTGCAAAAGAAAAAGAGACCTGCTTCCATGGGCAACTTCGACCGGAATCCTTGAGGGGGATCCAAATACGATCCGATATAACTTGCTCCGGTGACGCGCTAGTCTGCCGAGAAGCGTGCAATTCTACAGAGCTAGCTGATTTAGCGGTGCCTTGGAACAGCAGCCTAATTACATTTAGCCTTCATATCATCTCTTTTCAGCGTAAAGCTTCTTCTCTTTCCCTTCATCAGTTTGTGTGTCTTGATCTTTCCTTCTATTCCCCACCTCTGCGTGTCTTGATATCCCCCATACCCCTTAACGGTCAAGCTGCCTTTTTAGAGCCGTCTCGCAATACACGTTACTTGGCAACCTGCCTTACTTTGCTCTAAACTTCGTGTCCTCCAGTCAAACCGCCGAATGTCGTCTATTCTTAGGTCGCTCTTTCAGTTCTTATTTAAAATTTGCCTCCTATCGTTAGTAACAAGATTAGGAACAGGCGCTATCCCCCCAGGTGTCGGCTCCAAGAAGGAAGGCTATGAAATCGGAGTCCTGAAATACTGTGCATATCTACTGCTTCTCACGGCTTACAACTGAAACAAAATTCTTTCCATTTTATATTTTACCTTCGACTTTTATTGGTAGATAATCTATACGATCATAGCAGCAGCGCTAAGGGAGGTTCACATTTAAAATTTGCCTTTTTTTTTTTCTTAGAAATAGAAACAACACCAGCTCATAAGCTTGACTCTATCTCACAGTGTTTCATTAAAAGTTCCGCGCATCATTATTACCTATTGACTATTAAAAGTCGATAAGAGAAACGGGCGCATATGTCTGTAAACCGAAAGGCACGGGAGATTCGGAGCCATTTAGTTAGCCTTGCGGATAGCAAAGATAGACACGTTGTCATTTTGCATTAACCGGTCTGTATTTGCATCTGCGATATAAAGGTATTTTAAATACTCGCGAATTATGAAAGGAGACCATTTTTCATTTTCTGTTCTATTGCAGCTTCCGTGGATGCTCCCGCAAGCTCCAAGTGGTGCTGCAAAAACGCCCGTACTGGGTTCTCCATCACCTTCGCCTCCACCCAGCACCCCGGTTCTTCCGGTAACATCGTCTTCGTCTGCCGTTACGCCCACTCCAGCCAGTGGAGTTGGAGTTGACGACGCGCCGCTTAACTTGTCCAAGAAGGGTCCCGAGTCGTCACAAGGCCCGGCGGGTCAACCCGACCTGCTGAGCATCGCTCGTCGCCACGTACACAATAATGATAACAACCATCTAGCGACAACTAGCCTGCTACAAGAAGACAGACCGAAGAGGTTAGTTGAGTTGAGAATTATCATATTTTTTGGGTGATGGGGTTCTAAACTTGACGGACACAGTCCATATTAAATATCTCCTGCGCAATGAAATATTGTTACCCACTTTTTGTGTCCAGATATCGAATAAAGAAGAACAAAACTGAGGGCTTATTAATGTTACTAAAAATTATTTTTTTATTTAAGCTACTCAAGAGAGCGTCTGCCTGATCGTTGGTCATCTACGATGGTTAAGCTTTACGGGCGATATTTGTATTAGGTAGTTATCCCCGTTGGAAAACTAGCTGAGTTAGCCAATGTTATAAAAGCTTCCGGACGATTTTGAAATTGCTCTGGCGAGCGTCTGTTAGTAAAAAAGCTGTCTTCTATTTTAAGACGGTCAGCAACGATTTGCAACTTGCCGCTATGACTCACTTTGAGGATAACTGGCATGCTTGTCGTAGAGTGTTAAAAAATCCACTCTGTTGGCATGTCTTTTCACTGCTTCGGTTCTGGGCGCATCATATGGGCGCTCAGCGCCGCTACTCTGGAACGGTTCCGCCAGCTATCATAGGCTCGTGTAACAGAACATGCGGCATGGATGCTAGTGAGCCCATTAAAGCATTGTCGCCTTCGTGGCCGCTTGTTTCGAGTCTTCCGCTTAAAAATGGGTTATTACTTAGACTCACGCCTGTTAGCTGGGACGGAGCGGCAACTGGTAGTGCTGCCTTAGCCTATCGCTGTAAGCAAAGCTTTATAGTATCTGATTCAGCACATACAAAGACGCGAGCACCCACAGACCTCTCATGTCTCGTCTAGCACCATAACATATTGTTATTTCCAGAAAAGAAAAAAACGAACGTTTATTTCCGTTTCCTGTGGTAATGGACCAGTCATATTGAGTAAAACGCTTTCGTTTATATGGTAGCAATATTGAGTTAATGTGTCCCTTCCGAGGCCAACCGGTTAAAATGTAGTTTACGAGAAATATCGGACTGGCAACGTTAAGCGAGAGAGCCGGTCCTGCAGATTCAATAGTTATTCATTATTCGAACAGACTTTGATCACATTCAATTTGCAAAGTGACGAACAGCTGTATACAGATATATTAGGGGTCCAGGGGTACAACCCTAAATTTTTCGTGCCCAGATATTACCTGAAGCCAATGGCCCTTGAATTAACGCAAATCTTAACGAGCCTGATACAATACGTTGAAGTATTTTCGCGTTTTCGTTTTTTCATTGATGAATCCCACCCAGCTTTTATTGCTGCAATAAAATGCGTACTTTCTAATTTGCAACTTCTATAGCAAAAGTGATTGTACTGTAATATCATTACATCGTCATCGTCGCTATTATTTTTATTATGGATTAGACCTTTTATTATAACTTCGTGTAATTCCCATCTGGTGATAGACCTTCACATATTTATGGGCGTGTGTCTTGCTAAAGCGGTCTAGTTGAAAAGTTTGTGCTCACTACTACGGCCATTATAATCTGCTACAGATTTGTAGCCAGGGGTGAGAGCAGCCCCTTGCTGCTGCACCTATTCGAATGGGGCTGCACCCCTTTTAGTTTCCCCCGTCCCGCTGTTCCAGCCATAAGTACGACAACAAGTTCGACTCTGTAGCTCCATCACCTGTTACAGGCAATAGCGACTCAGCCGACGTTCTCTGCGGCTCCCCTGGCTACCGGCATGTCCAGATTCATACATGATTGGTACAAAGCTGTGATTGCACAACCGTGCAAGCAACTTGAGGTTCATGAGGAAAATGTAGTTGCTTCAGGTCGTCTGGAGATGATGCCCTATATTCTGGCCCCAGGGTTTTCTTTCCCTATTGCTATATACTATCTAGGGGTACATGTTCAGGTTCGCTCTCTGATTCGGGTTCGCCTGATTCCAGTAGCAGTTGCAATAGGATGGGGTGAGCCTAACGCGGGACAGCGTTTGCCTGCGCAGAGTGAGTGGGCGGGGCCGAGGCATCGGTATGGCGGTTTGATCCAGTTTACGAGCGGGCCCTCGGACTCTTCAGGCTCCAGGTTTCGGACCCGGTTTCGATTTAGCTCAGCAGCGAGTTGAACGTGACACAGGGCGCATGGCAGCGCGCCATCCTCGGGACACAAGTTTTAATGCTGTTTTATATTGGCGAACCGCTTCGGTAGCGGCGTCACAAGTAGCAAGTCAGTTTAGCTCTCTTTTGCTACTATAACATAGCTGACGTCGCGAACGGAAACCGCTCTGTACTATAGGACATACATCTAGAGGTGGTTACTTGGCTGACTTCAGCCCGGCCTGCAGGCTTTCTCGTTTCTAAAGAAGACGGGAAATGGCTTGCAACCTGACGGCTTAGAAAGAAAACGTATGAGTGAATCCACACGATGATAAGTAGAGAAATGAGCGTGGACGGGAGAAAGAGATGCGGGAACGATAGAGACAGCGATGGGAATGTACGAACGAAAACAGGTATGATGATCATGTTGTATCTAGTTGGATTCAGCAGTCGCCGCTGCTGTCGCTGCAGCGCTTGAAAGCCTACAAGTATGAACGTTGAACGGTATAGGACCGCGTTGTGGTTGTTCACTCGCCGCGGCGCCACAGCTATAGTACCTCTTTTATGACTTAGAACTTTTCTCTCAAAACGGAAAGGAGAGCGAGCTATGGTACTCTGGTTTCGTCCAGTAGAACTATATCCCATACGATCAATGGTTGTGTAGTGGAATCGCGGCCAGCGGGTTGTTTGCCCCTTCTCCCCTGCCCTTCCTGTCGGCGGTAAGTCCGGTTAGCAACTGGGCTGGTCAACGCCACACGCTATTAGCACGATTCATGCCCATTACCGTTGATCGAGCACATTTGTTAGCTATGCTGGACCACAATGAAGCATTCTAACTCACACCTATAGGACACATCTCACCTATTGTGGTGGCTGAACCAGTTTCGGCTGAGTTCAGTATAGAAGTTTAGGACGATGAGAAAGCAGCAACGACTTAATAACAAGTGTGGATAGATGAGAGAATACCTATGTTTAGGATAGAGGAAGAACAAACCATCAAAATGAGATTATGACAATAATCATAAGGGAAACCGCCGTCTAATCAGCATGTCTACATCGCAACTTCTCGTTTTATGAATCAGGCTAGAGAAATAAAAATATAGGAAAGACGGAATTATGCGGTGTACTTCCTCATTCATTTTCTATCCTAATAACTTAAATCAAAGGAAGAAGTGGACAGACCCTGCGCAGCGGACAATGACAGCTCTTCTACTAAAGAAGTTCGCTCCCACCAGAACCACACAAATGCATACACATACACACACACCCAATGGACTAGCAATGTATAGCAAGGGATTTCCCTATACCCTGATGCGCCCACAAAAGCTATTTCTAACTAGAAACGAGATCTTTTCGTTGGGGAAAGAGGAGAGAGTGAATCAACGTTTGTAGCTCCATATAGCGCACGGCATATGAAACACAGGCTAGTAATTGTTGCTTCTATTGGTACCTTCAGTAGTGCACCATTCTTAGTTGTACATCCCAGTAGGGCTTCTTTGGACTGTCACTAGTGACTGATTCGGGATTGCATAGCTGGGGTGATTCGTGATTCGGAGCTTCGCTTTCCTTTCTTTCCAACGGGATGTAAGCTCGAGACAGTGACTAGTCAGTTGTTTCTTGTGTCTCCCATGTGCAGATTCTTTTTTCTGCTTTCTGTTCTGCCTGACTTTTGTTACTCGCGATAGGAGCGAAGCAGCACGTAGACAACAGCAAAGGATCGCTTGTGACCGCTACGTAGAAAAAGCCGTGAAAAGTGAACGTTCGAGAGTCGGGACGAAACAAGGTTTTGCACTCTTCTCTCTACTGCAGCTAGCCGCCGGTATCCGACGGCTGAGATAAAGCTAGGACGGCCAGAGAGCTATTATGTATGTCTCATTTTATCCGTAGTGGCCACTATTTCTATAAGTGTGGGTGCTCACTACGTTAGGTTCAGGTTCCCACAGGAAACGCGGAGATGCATCATCAGTCTTCGCCGCTAGAACTCCAGCCCTACAACTTCTCGTAGCTGTTACCAAGGGATGAACCGTTTCTTCTGAATAGATGAAAAAGGTGCGGAACAATCTCGAGCTGGATTAGACGACGAAATGATTAGGCATGCGGCGTTGTCCTATTCCGTGTGCGACAATTCGGACCAACACCAGCCGTAAGCAGAATGCTCCTGGGAGCTTTCGACTCGGGCGCAGATCTTACTGGAAGATTGCTAGCCTGTATTTAGACCCGTTGGAACTGTCGCCCAGCTCATTTTCCGAATGGGTTATTATGGGCTCTTAATCTTGGGAAGCGCGTTGGTCCGCGGGGTATATGATACAGGTCTTGTATGACGATCTCATTTGGATATTGAGAGTAATTTGGGATGTTTGGCTTTTGAGGATAGTCTTTTCCTGAGTAATTAGTGGAGATTCACTTAAGCTTTAGAGAGTATGTTTCGTAGCGAGCTGTCCTGTTGGCCTAGGTCAACTAGGCTCGTTAATGAGGTTCGCGTAGCTTTTAGCTCCAAAGCAAAGTGAGATTAAGGAAAAATAGCAGTGGGAGGAAGGGCAGGACCTGACTGATCTGATACAAGCCCGTTAATGTTGTTGTCAATAGTCGAGCTGACGGTCGATGCAGGCTAAATACATAGTGCTCCTGGTTGATATTGAGCAGTTTCTGTTACGGGACATATGCCGAGCCCGCGCCGATATACAGATGCCGCTACGATTTGCTACTACACATACATATCTAGATGTATATCTAGTTATCGTCTTGGGATTGGACTAATCGAGCTCTTGGCTGTGTGTGTGTGTGTGTGTGTTTGTGTGTATGTGTGTTCGGCTGGCTTTTCGTTTTGCAGCGTGTCCCCCATTGCACCCTTGGGATCTCCATCGCCCTCCAAAATGACTGCTATACCTCCTAGTTTGGATTCGCTTGGAGGAGACATCCATCTCAACCAGCTGCAGCATCTTTCAGTAAGTATCCTTCCCAATTGAGTAACTGGAAAAAATTGATGGACAACATTTGCTTGACTCCGGAATCGTATGACGCACTTATTATCTGTTTCCAGAGGACAAGGATGTCTAACACTTCTAATTCTTGCAGAACTTTCTCCCGTATGTGAACACGTCTTGTTCATCAACGTTGAGCTTTCCTACGTCTCCAACATTCAGCCCTACATCAAACTTACCCCAAATGACGTCCCCGTTCGCCACAAGTATGTAGAGCTCTTATTGAACACATTTTGAAAGAATAGATTATATTAATCAATCACGTGCTACGACTCAATTATTACTGTTTCGGAGGACTTGAGCTGGATTTGAGGTTACATGAAGAAACTGAATGCGCACCACAGGGCTGAAACCTTTTTTTTTTCATTTCTTACAGATGGCCTTCTGTCAATGTTCGGAGGAAGCGGCGGCGCTCTCCCTGGTCCACTGACTAACGGTGCAGCTGCGGGTAAGGAAGCTAGTGTGTTTTCTTCAACGTTAGCTGCCGGGCTCACCGACATCAAGGACGGACTCAAGGACATGAACTACGAAAGCTCATCATCTGAGTGTGGGGACAAAGTGAGTTCCGACCCCCTCCTTGGCGCTAAGGTGATTCGAGCAGGGCGCGACCCGGTAGATCGGAAACAGCACATAAAGAGGCCGATGAATGCATTTATGGTGTGGGCCAAGGATGAGCGTCGCAAAATTCTGAAAGCGTGCCCTGATATGCACAATTCGAATATATCTAAGATTCTCGGCGCTCGTTGGAAAGCAATGAGTAACGCCGAGAAGCAGCCGTATTACGAGGAGCAATCGCGGCTCTCGAAGTTACACATGGAAAAGCATCCAGACTATAGGTATCGCCCCAGACCCAAAAGGACCTGTATCGTTGACGGCAAGAAGCTGCGTATCTCCGAGTATAAGACACTCATGAAGCAGCGTCGTGAGGAAATGAGATCTCTTTGGTGAGTATCTGCCGAAAGCGCGCACAGCTTTTAGAACGCCGTTTTTAAAGTTAACTTTTAAAAAATGAGAAGTGTCTCCACTGTGGCATGCAATAATAGGCGTTCCGAGAGGGAAAACTGCCAACATTAGCATAGCATACTATATTAACTGACCCCAATGGTGTTTGTTTCAATTTCGTTCAGCGGTGACGCCGGCGCCAGCTCAAAGGATGTGTCTCTATCAATGGCCCCTGAAGATTTGCAGGCAGCCTTTGAGGCGGCGCGTCAAGCATAGCAGGAGGCTGGCAGGGTTCAGGAGACTGAGCTCAGCCCCGAAGGACAAAACGTTATCCGCCGGCCCTGGGAGCAAACGAACTGAGTCAACGGAAGGGAGGAGAACAAGATAGCAGCGGTATCGCTAAGATGCTAAGACTTATTTAAAAAAGATTTGATACGGCGCACATGAGGATATCTACAGGCTGTGCGCTACAATCCCATCTATACAATCAATCAATCAATAAGGAGAGGACGAAGCTTGAACGGGAATTTCAACAAAGGATGCAATTCTCTCGCTACTAATAAGCTTCAAAGGAAAAGGGAGCTGCAAGTATCAGTATTGGGCATTGGCCGATTTGACCAGAGATACATCGGAGGAAAGGCGCTGTATAGCCTACGAACTGCAAAATATCTGGCTAGTGGTGATCATGATGATAATGCTGATGGTCATGATGAAGAAACTAATGTCAATAACAATGTTGCTATTTATTAGTAACCCGCTGTACAAACTGTTTGTGGCCGAGTGTCGTCATTCTAGTAATAACAACAAAAATAATGCAAGCACTCAGTACAGCGGCGGAGTGGCTAATATTTCAGCATTATTATTACTACTGCTACTACTGATACGGTCTGGTAATGCGATGTGAGGCTTGAATACAGTCAAATGGGCCGCTGTCAACAGTGTGGAGCCAGTGCAATACTTGTGCAATTTATTTATTAAAAAAATATTAAGTTATTTAGATTATCGGATACTTTGAAGGGCAAGGGGTCACTTCTAGCCATAAGTGAATATGTGCTCGTGTGTGCGTTCAACCGAGAGATGACTGATTACCAACTGTTTTAGACTACCCTTCCTAACCGTTCCCACAATCGAGGCGACACGATTCTTTGCAGCAAACCATCTTCGCTTCTCCGGAAGTCATCGACTATTGCGTCTGGCCATGTTCGTGTTAGGATTCTGGAGTGCGATCTGTTACGTTCACGAGTACATATTATGATCCTCAGATAGGAAACGCGGTGTCTATAACCGGCCCTTATAGCCTTGTCTCTGACACAACGAACTAAAGTAAAGCATGTCGAAATCTAGCGCTTTCCTCGTTTCGTCCTGCCCTGAGTAACATTTGGTCCTCTTGTTCAAATCCAAGTGTCAACGGCAATATGGTTATTAAGGGCAGCTGTTAGCAATTATTGCCCCTGTACTATTATTACTCATTGTTGAGAAGCATTTGTCAAGAGTTCAGTAAATAATTTTCTTTTACAAAAACTGCCATGTTATGTGATCTACCCTGTGCTGATGATTATCTAGTCACAAACAGATTTGGAAGCTGTGCAATGACTTCAAGTTAGCTGGAATGAACGACCACGCTAATTTGGTCGTCGTGTAATCTTTACCGAAAAATGATCGGTGTCGATCTGATGAAATCTAAATAGGGATCTTTTGCATTATTGACTTTTAGCTAAAATATGTTTTTTGTTAATATTTAGAGTAAAGCGGTAACACAGATTTTGCAAGGCTCAACGATAACATGAATTAGTCTTCAAGCGCTCCTGGAAGAGCTTAAATTTTTTTTTGTCAGTTATTACATCGATCACTTGCAGCTTCTCTAGATCGCCAAATAGAATTGTCAAAGGGCTAAGCAAGCCGCTGATTTCACAAACGAATTCTAAAAAGCCAATAGGAAAACTCTACTCGGTCTACACGTAGGATTTTTTATGAAGGGAACTAGAGACAATGGTTAGAAAATGTAGTTGAAAAGAACGAAAACCATATAAATACGGTAAGCTGCTACGGTGACTATGCCACGGCGCAGATATGTGTACGTCTACGAGTTTACCCAAAGCATCCATCTGATTACGTAACTGTGGATGGACGAGGCAAGTATGGAAAAATTCGTTCACGGAACCGCGAGGCTAACAGCGCTGGTCTCCGGGGATTATCGCATGTATGTTCTACTGACTAATGCCCTGTGGTAACAACAAGGACACGTTCCTGGATATACTGAGCGCGTTCGATTCGATGTGTATATGTGCGTACATTTTGTCTGTCGTATGAATTGTCCGCGACGGAGATAAGGCGTAGGGTAAAGTAGCAAAAGCTCGATGTTCAGAAGAAGGTAACGTTATTGGCAATGCTTATATGCAGCCAGCCATATGCCGTACCAACATGCAGGAACGGATACATGGCAGTGGACGGTGGCAATGATAATGGTGTGATTGGATCGATTAAAATTTTATGGGCTGCAAGCCCGCACCAGTCTGAGCCCAACTTCAGAACAGTGACGTCAGATGCGGTCGGACCCGACAGAATAAGACAATGACATAGAATTGACGACAGTATATAAATACATGAAAAGACAGATTATTATTATTATTATTATAGTAATTGCAGTCATAAAATGTCGTAGAATACAGATCATGATGAATACAGAATAAAAGGAGCGATAAGTATGTAGGCACGAGCATGGTATATAATGATGGCAGGGTGAAGGCGTGAGTGCGTGTATGTATAGGAAATGGTGTGTAATGTGGTTTTGGAAGTAGAAGGCTAAACCCGTGTTACCTATCCTAGCGCCCTACGATAAATATAAATTAAAGAAAAACATGATGATAGTGCGCGTAACCCTGGGGGCAATATTCATGCAATCTCAACTCAGAATTTCGTAACGTCAAGAACAATGATAATGACGCTAATAATGACGATGATTGTCACAATCTAGGAGCGGGAGAAGTTGTCGACGAAAGGCCAACCAAAGGTCGATTGAAAAGGAGCCGCGATATACACCCATGCACCAAACATATGAAAATATATAGAAATACGGATATATTAGTTCAACCAATAACAGCATCAATCTCTAAAATAGGAGCAACAATCACTAGCTCAGTTATAAGAGAATCAAGAGCCGGTTACAGTGTGATCGGTTGATTTACTCAAACGTAGCTCGCGCAAACATCTGTCCCTGTTTCGCTCTCCTTCCGTCTACCCAGCATCAGCCGCCGCTCATTCTTACCTACCTCCTCTCGCTTCCGTCAGTTCCTTTTTCCGTAAAGCACCTGCTGACCGCTCTTGTTTCTCTGGAGGTCTACTTTTCTTTCTTTCTCTCTCTCTGCCGTCGTCTGCATCAACGCAGAATTTCCATCGGAACGTTTGATACAGCAGTGAAACAGATCGTCAGTACAGACAATTGCCACCTGACCAGAGGAAATACCTAAACACCATAAAAATTGATATATATATATATATATATATATATATATATATATATATATATACACGATTATACATAAATGTGTATATTGATTGACTATGAGAAAAATTATGAGAATAGGACCTAACATTTGCGCTGTTATTTGGGTCGCTACGAGGTATGAATATAATATATTTCAACGAAGAAGTGGGAGAGTTTGTAGAAATGGTGACTGCAAAAAATCGAACACCGAGTCGTATGGCGGTTCTGCAATTAGACTATTGCAGATCGTGGAGGAAGTCAACTAAAATTGTCTGAACGCAGTGGATGATGGGTGCACGCATACACTGTTATACAATAGCGGCGATGCCATCACTGTATCCCCCGTCACCTTTTCTGCCTATAGCTGCCACCAGCTTGGCTCAGCGTATATATATATACACATGGGGAGACAACAAGAGAGCAGCAGCGTGATCCTCATATTTATTAAGATGTACATTCCGTGAAATGCTATTATTATAGATATTACTATATGGATATAATAGACTAGAAAACGAAGCAAGAGATGGAACACTTGAATAGAGAAGAGAAATAAAGGACGTCAATGTCATAGTTATATTAAACACATTAATAAAAATAAATAACGAAACAGATGGCAGATGCAAAGGGGCACAAATAACGGAATTACCTCGATAGAAACAAATGTAACCGAATAAATAATTCTGATGACAATGACCATACCACCTAACTACGTAATGGTGAGATGATGATGTAAGTTAAATAATTAGAAATTAAATATAACGAAACTTGGTATCGCAAATATATTGACTGTTTTGTTTCTATCTTCATAGATAAATGCTAAAGTGGCTTCGATTCGAGGCTATCTTATAGAATAAAAAGCTCAAATAATAAGTTATGAGTCTATTTGTAAACGCATGTATTATGTAGGTGTCACTCGGGAGAATCTTATGATCAGAGGAAGAGCTTTTTCTATTACTGTTATAAAGGTTAAACTAAAAAAATCAGCCCTATTGTGGCGGGTATTATCCTAATCGGGGCTGTCGATGTACGTAAGTAGTCTATTTTGAACTTGAGTTGTAAATTTTATCGATTCTAGTTACTCGATACGGCCGTAAGTAGAATTTACTTTCTGGATTGTAATGGCGTCCTTAAATTCACCTTCCGTCATTGGGAACTGTCGTGCGCCAGCTTGTTCAGAAGTCTACTTCAGTTCCGGCGCCTCTTCAGTATGAGTATCAAACAGCCATGAATTCAAGCCGAACTTAGAAACGCGAACCGATGAACTTTACCAATCTCCCATTGGCTGCCAATATTTGGTTGAATTAAGTTTTCGTCTGACTACGGTCATCTGTTTTTCTGGGCAGTTTTCTCAATGTCGCGCTAATAGACGCACGTATGTCGTTTACGGGAGACACGACCCGCCAGCAGGCAGATGAAGTGTACACTCTACTTTTATACACTCACTTGGGTCAAGAGATCAAACAGAAGAAACATGATAGAAGCAAGCGAACGAAGCTAAAAAGACTCGAGCCACGAATAATATCGTCAAGCACCTATTAAATCGAGCTTGTTTCAAAGAAGTTTCCATCTTTACTTAGGTAACTAACTGTTGGGCGGGTGGGGGTGTACCTCTGCTATTGATGTTGCTGACATTGTAGCGGTCTTTGCTATATTTAGTCTTCAGTAAATGTCTCCTGCCCTGACCGTTGTGAGCAAAATGAGACAGGCGTAGAGAGATGCGAGTCAGAAGATTACAAGTCGTTGATTTATCGAGGAATTTCGAGGAAGAATTTTCGCTAACGGCTGAGGAGGAGAGAGTACCGTTTTGATAGTCGCTTTGCCGGTTTCGGTGACTTCAGCGCTGGCATGGCAGGTATCTGTTTCGCCGCTCTAATAGGTCGAGCGCCGTGCGACGATCGCGGCCAACTGCAGCGCTTGTCGATGGCCCCAACGCTGACTAACAGTGACTCCAACAGAAGCCGCCGACAACTCTTGACTCTAGACAGCTTTACACCGTTTTAGGCGCAATGTCGTAAGAGCTCACGAACGACGAACTAAATCACACGAGAACCGCATACAGAAATGACACGAGTTATGCCGGCTCGCAATGGGGACGCCACTACCTCGTGACACTCAGAAATAACGTAAAAATGATGACCCCTTTTTAATTTTTTGGTTACATTTCCTTGAGGATATCACACATTTATTAAATTAATCATCATCATCATCATCATCATCATCATCATCTATTCCTGCTCCTTCTTTCTTCCTTCCTAAACTGTTCGTCTATCCGCATATACAAAGCGCAAGTAACATTGGCGTTTGCTGCACAGCTTGCTTTTTCTAGATTCTGCTTCGTCGTCTATATTGATGATGATGATTTATGACCACCACGACTCGATCGATACGTTGTCTCGCGTCGCTGTGACAATATTGCTAGAGTATAGTATCCATATACTCGCTTCAATATACACTCTTTCCTAATTTTCAGTTAGGCATATGTATGTATAATATGTTTATATAATAGTTTAATAAATACCTTCGCTTTTAAAATATCTATAAGGTCTACCAGTATATTTACTAGGTTCTTAGCTGACAATTTTGTTCAAATCTGCACTTGCACCCTTCGCACTCAGCCAGAATCATGCGCATGTCCCGTTCATGTCCGTTGAAAAAAAGTACTCTCCGCTAGTGGAGAATTTGGTCGCGGCTGATCCCATAGCCCCGTAACACAATCGTTGTTTTCTTTCCAGCATTGACAGACGATTAGTATATTCATTGTCAACTCGTCTAAACAAAGACTATACGAGCGCCACTGTATCAAAAACGCTGACGTAGTCCGAGCTGCGTCTGGCTCATCGGTCGTTTGGTACGAGACCAAGCAATGGTTTCCCATGTATCCGTAGCTAACGGCTCAGCAAATTCGTATGATCGGCCGTTATCGGGACTCAGTGGAACAATTTTTGTCATTGAAGTGTAATCGTGTATTACGGAAACGTGTTTAAAAGAATTTTCGAGGGGTGCCATTGTCCCGTTTGTTGTATATTTCATCGGAGGCTCTGGTCGTACATGACTATACACATTTTTAGGAAAAACAAAAGACAATGTTTAGTAGTTCGCGGGTCTCTCTGCTTAGCTGTCAAACGAAAGATATTCTTTCAGCAGCTGACTGTTATTATACCGTTAGTCTCATTATCACTCCTCTGTTATATTCACTCATTCTGGGTCCTCATTAAGGGATTAGAATTTTCGCTACTTCTTCTACGTTTATGTACAAATGTATAAATAAATAAATGATTTCTACATACATACATATATCTGCGTGTGGGCGCGTTGCGTCTGCATGTCTATATATCTTAGTTGAATCAACCACGTGAGCAAATGAAACTTCTTAGTTGACAGCAACGAACGTCTGGGCCCAGGGTCGACTGCTCCAGAGTGTAAAACTTTGTTCAGGTGGGCCCGAACGTTAATGTGTGCCATGCGGAAATTAATATACAGCATAAGTGCACTCGACATCTTACTACTTCTCCATACACCGTATAATGAGGGAATATTTTGTTATAAGTCGTGAATGGCAGGGAGCCGCCTCCGTTGCCCGGCAGACCGTCAAATTTGCTACCGTTTACGTGCTATTATTCATATATTGGGACGATAACGACGACCGTTACGACGGTGATCCATATCCAAGTGTAAAACACTGCAGTATTGTTGTCTTCTATGTTGAGACGCATCAACGCATTGAGGCGTGTCGATGGTGTTCGTGGCAAGTTATGTTTGTACATAATGTCACAGGTTGTAGGAAGATGAAGGTGACTCCGTCTTGAGCCATTTTCATTACATTCGAAAAATCAGCTGACCTCATCAGAGTTTGCTCAGTACGCGTAAGATCCACCTTTCGACTATGTTAATATAATAAACTGAAAAATTGCGCTACTATTGTTCAATCTCTTGATCATAGGTTCACTGCTGAAGATACGGCGGTGACGTACGGATCTTGTAATTAATTCTTATCTGGTCTAAGGTGATTGCCGGGTGAGTTGATTTGGAAAACCCCCTTCAAGCTACGGAGGTACGCAACGCCACGGGTCGACTTTACAGCTGTAGGCTGTCATCGAACCCCATCTCCCCTAACGGCCATAGCTGTAAAGCAACGCAAAGATTTTTATCGCTGATTAACGTGGCCTAGGAGCATGCCGCGGCAAGACGGGTGCCGATGCTTATAACGGGAGCGATCCTATCTTCACAGGAGGCTCTAGGAGTCTGTCTGGATCACGGGGTTGTTGTTGCTTGATGACCCGTTGCAATGTGCCTGGAACAGAGAGGAAAAATTGTTAAACTCTTTCTAGCACCGCAGCTTCCATAACATCTAAATAAGAGTCGAGCAACACGGCAATGCAACATGTTATTGAAAACAGTTCGAATGTTACGTAACAGCTGCACAAGGGCTTATTAAAGTTTAAGTTTTCAAGGCCTAAGCATCAATTGTCAATCAAGCAAAAGCAAAAAACCATACTACTTCCATTTTTTCTTAAACCAGCTTCCATCTAGTTATATGAATTTTACTCGATTCCGACAATCAGTGATAGCGTAAACGACGGAGGAAGGAGGTCAAAGAAAACGTTAGCTTATTTGAATTTTCTCGCTTCTGAAGAGACGTCCGCGAAGTCACTGGCACCTTAACTCGCACTCCTGCGTATTGGCACAGTGAGTGGTAAACTGAGAAAAAATCGACCGGTGTTGTCAGTGGTCGATGCGGTCAACAAAGGTATAATCCTTCATCGAAATATGCGAAAGGCCGCTTTTGTATTTTCGCAAAAATGGACCAATCCTCTCTCGAGGTTCTCCAGTCCTCCACGCATAGCCATCTCATTACAACGGCTATCTAACAGAATTTTCCCGCTGTTGCTAGCGCTGCCAGTGGCGTCGTAGTATAACAATAGTTTGTCTTTGCCGAGTCTATGTAGATACGCGTTACCATTATATTCTAGCTGAAATAAATGTGCCAACGATTGCATCTGGCAGTACCATATTTGTCATAAATGCCACTTTTTTTAGTGTGTGCAAAAATAGCTCATCTCGTGCGCGAAACTTCCTCGTCGTTATTACGGTCTCAATGTATAGTTTTACGCCTTATCCGGCTGATACATAAACATCGGTAGCAGCAGCAGCAGCAGCAGTAAAAGAGCATTATGGCGCGGCAGGCGCAGAGTTGCGAGGGCGACAATCTGTATGACGACAAACGTAACAGTGATTACGTACGTCTACTTCGATCGTCTGAGTGAATGTCACAACAAGACACCGTACTGAACAACAACAACAGAAGCCACAGAATTAGGACCATAATGTGCTGGGTTGCTCTCGATAGCCCAGGCATTGGACCAAGCGGGTGAGAACGTTGACGATGACGGCGGATAGCTTGGAGCTAGCAATGCTATAGTGTTGCTGCTGCTACTGCTGCTGTCGTTTTTCTGCAGTTGCTGCTACGTGTTGTTCAGTATCTGACGATGTCTATAGCGTTCACCTTTGACGTGCCTTCGTTCGAACACCACAACAACAAATGGCATAGCAACTAAATGAAGAGCGGCGGCTCAAGAACCACGACGCGCGGGTTCGACGCTTTGGTGGTAGCTTTTGTATGTAACTATACCACAGGCAGAGGAGACGGAAAAGGCTGGAGTGCCACCGCGCGACGGTCCATCAATATGGTAGGCGACCGTACACTTAGCCGTGTTAGTGCTTTGCGCGAAAGACGACATCAGCATCAAACAGCTCCAACGAACGGCTAGCAGCGGTGCCAGTTGCTATTGCTGCTGTTGACTTCACCGGCTTGATGCACAGGGTATCACCCCGAAATAGCTCGGTAGCCGTCGCACACGCTATGCCTGGGGTTGGTGTATGTACACCTACTGGTGCATTATTTCGGGGGCTCCTTTCGATTCGGTGCGGCGTCTTCGGCGAGGCTAGTGCCGTTTGTGCATTGCTGGATCGTCATGGGCACGATGCTGCAGCCAACGTCACGAGGTTCACATTGAAGCCGACCTGCACCGGGACCTGGCCGCCAGTCGTTTGTGTGGTCGCGTCCTGCACAGCTACATCGGTGGCACTACGAGTCGAGACGGTGTTTGGCCAACGATCGACCAAATTTTTAGCCTGAAGCTCTCGCACTCCTAGCAGCTGTTGCGTGTACTGCTTTTCCCGCTTGTGTAGCTGGTGTGGGTAGATGATGGCACAGAATGTGATTTAATTGCGCGCTCGAATGACAACAGCAGCGTCAGCAATAACGACAGCGACAAGGGCAGTAAGAGTGACTGCTGTACGTCTGTCGACGAAAGAATGCGCCTGCACGAAAAATCTATAATTCGCTGACCAAAACAGCCGACCACAACGTTTAAAGAAGGATTCGTTGGCCTTTTTGCTACCCAGACTGCTCTTCCTCGCGCCTTCTCTACAGTCCAGTTGCAGAACCCGCTGTCGCCGGCGACCAGCAGAGTTTGTCGCCGCTGTGGGTCGCAATAGGGCTGTAGGAGCGCCCGCGTGAGCTTCAGTAATGATCTTACAGTGCGATAAATGACGTTTATAATTAAGCCTAATTATCGCCGATGTACGCCTCTCTTCAAACAACATTGTATCGTTATATTGTCCAGTGGTAATCAGTCTAGAGTTATCGTCGTGGTTGTTTTTCCCTTCCTCTGCGAATAAAAACCTCCCATCTCAGGCGCACTTGGACTGGCACGCGCGCACGTACAATAGACAGGACAACATACGCGTTTTGCCATCTGTTTAAGTAGGTACGTTTCGGCGCAGAAGTATCTAATGCGGTGCGTCGAACTTAGCTCTGGGCGGAACATCAGTGTAGTCATCACTAACAATAAAAATCAGTTGAGTGCGGGTTCGTCGCTAGGTCCATTGCTAGCCATTGACGGCTGCTGCCAGCACGACTTTCCAATGTTTGATAAATACAGAAAAGATTGTATAGATGCATAGAAGATAGCTAGCGCAGGCATATCTATTATTTATACCGTACTGCCCCCGGCTTCGTTGCATTGGCTTCGCGGCAACGCTGTCCATCAGAGATGCCCCGCCTGCTTCGTATCATTGTTTTCCGTCAGAGCGTTCTTATCGTTACACACCAAAACGCCGGAGAATCCTTATCATCATCGTTATTGTCATTTTGGTGAACGTCACTTTTTCGGTAGACAGTTCTGTGTAGACTTTCTTTATCGACCGCCACACCCCCAGAATCGAGCGGCGCGCAATCCATTAGCAGCTTTCCTCCAACAGTGCCGCTATTGCCGTTCGGATAAGTTCAGTTGAAGTTGGGGTGAACAAAAGCGCCCCATCAGCGAACGACCTGCTACGACTACCGCGGCGACCTATTATAGCTTTTGGTGGCAAATACAATATCGTGTGACGGTAGTGACCGTACCAGCATATTGCAATAGCAGGGATGTCAAAACATTTTATGTGGGGTTGGTGACGCCAGCAAAACCAAAATAAGCCGGCCGTATCTATAAAACAATTGAACGGAGTGCCTACGCCGCAGAAGCTCGATAATTATATGTGTGTATATAGCCAGGCTCTAGATAACTGTCTACGACATTTTTTTTTATTTACATTTATTCTATAAACATATATGGTGGTGATTCATACGAATTGGGGAAAACCTTAGAGGGCTGTTTAGTGTAGTTAATGAACTATTTCTATTACCACACAGAGACTAGTTCTTTCCTAGAATAAAACAGCAAACTCGTCATAGCGAACAACCGGGCACCTGTTCTTATAATCTGGTCATTAATAGTAAGGTCGATGATAAAGTCAATGGGTATTGAGTCTTTCCGTGCTGAACAAACCCCGAACAATTTAAAAAAAATTTTCTCCCATAATCAGCGGTTATACGATGTTATCTGTTCTCATTCGGCTTCTGAAAAGTCCGAGAAAAACTTTATCAGACAAACCGAAAGATCCTTCACAGGATTTAGATTTCAAAGCTCGAAAATTAATAAAAATAGTTCAAAAAGCCATTTTTTTTGGTACAGAAATTAGCAGTTGTTTTATTACGTTGTTTTTATAAGCTTCAGCGGTTTTCTTTCTTGAACTTTTTTGTACTTTTTGAATTTTTAGCCCTTCGTATTTTAGCAAGTTTTCGCTGTCGACCCGAAATTTACTGTAATATATAATACTATTGTATTATATATTATAGTAAATTTCGGGTTATTTACATTATAATGGGCCTATTGGACATTGGAGATGACCTATCAGTGCGTTAAGTTCCTAACCGAAGTTGCAGTTACACTGAATAAATATCACCGTCAGGAATAACCAGATGCAAAAAATCTGATTATCTGTTTTTGTTTGAATACAATTTTAGAAGCTAAGCATAAGGGAAATTCTTGATTCAGACACGGACCCTATATTCATAGAGGTCATCATATAATTCATGTATATATATGAACAAAAAAATGATAGTCCATTTTCTGTGCTTTCAGAATAGAGGCCAACGGTGAATCTCTCTTAGTATTTTTATTCTTGCTTTAGGCTAACTCAAGCGACTCAATCTGCATTATAGATGAAGGTGTCCTTTTAAAAACCTTTTACATAATTCGATTTATTTTGCGAAATTTTGAATCACGGCCCTGGAAGTTTCAACTTTACCAGTTATTTCACGAATAGTATTTTAGGTCATGGATTGTTTTCGGTGGTGTTTTAGGGACTCCGCTTCTTGCTTAGCTTCACAAGAAAAATCGATCAAAGTTAAATGACAGGATTGAGGCCGCCACGGATGTTACCGCCGCTCATCCAAATCAGTAAAATATAGGAATATGGCTTCAAGTAGATTAATTCTTTACCGTGCAAGCTTTTCCATGTTGCTGAGTCCGGAAGTCGTTCGCTTCCGAGTCTCTAATTTCATGTCACAAGCCGGCTCAACATTGACTAATGCTACCGTTCTATCATCATTGAGGACGAAACTTCCAATAATACCTTCGCTTGAGAAACACAGCGTATCGTCCATTTCTTTTGAGTGAAGTGGTCGTTCGACACTTACCCTTGGGTTCGTCGTAACCCAGATGAGATTTTTTTTTCTTACTTACATCATCATTCAACTAAAAATGAGTTTTTGCCCGCACTTTTTGCTTCGGTATGTGATTAGTAACGTTTATAATGGTCTGAACCTTTAACTGTTTCTTAATTGTTCTTTGGTGGGACAAAGATGCAACTCGTGCTTCGACATTAGTCGCAAGGTGCTCCGCGATCGACCAGGTCGAGCACGACGTTGCGTGAAAATCGTTGGGTCGGTGCTCACACCACGCCTTACTGCAGCCATACTCTTATTGACTCGTGGTTTCTTTGGCTTCTTGACTAACTTTGGAATGAACCAATCTTTTCGAAATTTTCGATTCGTTACCTTTGCCAGCAAGAAATGTCTTCTCTATTCTGTATAACACTTGCGGAATACTACCGTACCATTTCAACAACAAACGGTGCTCACCGTACAACATCTTGTCGTTCGCAAAGGACATTTGCTGTTGTTCTATCAATTCTCGCTTGTTGCAACACAGAAAACAGCCAAATCGACCGAAAAAACAGTATATACATATATACATATAGGGCCAACATTTAACTACTTCGAACCAGGCCTTGATATATATTAGTGGGGTAACAACATGATCAATGGATACATAGTATTGAAGAGAGGCTAGTTCACGTTATTGCAAATTCTTTTTTAGAAACGTCCACTGCAGAATCCATTAACGAAACGACTTATAAGTGGATCTGTACTCGAAGTAAAATGTACGCGTTGATTTAAGGCTGATGCCCTCCATATGTATAGATGGGTTAATAACTGTCCCAGCTCAGAGACTGCTTTAAGACAGCTGGTAGACATTCTCATATTGACACTTCCTCCGGTCGTTTCTTGAGCATCTCACCATGCTTTCAAATGATAGGTTTATGTTCAGGTCGCCCTTACGCCTTACGGACAACTATGCGAAGAATGCGTGTAGAAGGTCACACAGTTCGGCCATGATGGATAATCGCAATTGGCAACCGAATGAACGGAAACCGACGAATCGGGCCTTCGACTGTATCAAATTGTTGCCTATCGATTGCCTTTATTATGATCTGCTGCCGCAACTGTCTATTGTGGACGTGATGGTTAGTCAGTCAACGCGAAACGGACCAAATAGGATGATGGCAGAATGACGACTAAGACAAGGGAAGCGTTTCGATGCAAGAGAGATACATACACAGCGAGAGAGAGAGAGAGAGAGAGAGAGAGAGAGAGAGGGGGGGGGGAGGTAGAGGCACGCGTCGCAGAAAAGAACTCGTTGATGTGGGGACCGACTCCTGACGATCGGCAACCATCGGCTACTACCTGTCAATTGGCGAATATTGGCCAAATCCATCGTTCAACTGCTACTGAGATCTCAAAAACGACGACGATGATGCTGACAACAACAATAACAGAGGGAACGTCAATCTGGACGAAGAGAAGACTGTGTTAGGCGATGCCCCCCCCCCCCCCCCCCGCCCCCCACTTCGCACCAAAAATACGGGAGACAGAAGCGGACCAGCGCAAACTGTCAGTGGTGGGAAGTAAAAGACGATACTTCACCAGAATGTGCATAGAGCACTCCTGTAGTCAACAGACTCACGTAGGAAATTACGCATAGCTCTTGATCTAACGCTCTGAATGGTTAGAAACGCTGTTCATTGCCATGTTCACCTGTTTGGTTGTCAAGCGCCGACTTGAGCGTACTTTCTTGCTATGAAAACTTGATCAGTGCACTTTCTTTATTCGTTGGACCTCACAATATGCAAGGCACTACTAAAAGAGTATAGCACCTTAATATGGACCTACACGTTCGATGTTACTGTATAGGAATGCCTATGTTTCAATTAGTTAACGTATAAGTAATTCGTTCTTTCATTATTTTTTAATAGCTTTAATTAATAATTTGTAGAAAATGTTTAACTGCAACTACAAATAGAACATATCGCCTTTGTCGTGAAAGTAGACGTTTGCCTAAGTTGAGGGTAGACACTTACGTGAATTTACTCAATGCACTTTTAAGACTCGACGATATGTATTTGACCTAGCGGATATTAAACTTTACGTCGGAGTTCGCTGATACAAACTCTTCTGGAGTGTACAGGTTGGGGTGTTTCAAATGTATACGGACGACTATTGCTTTATATGGCACCTACAGCTACTGAAGAAAAAGAATAACGGGAGGTGGAAGTAGAACGGCTGTCGATAGCAAAGGTGGTGACCAGTCTGTAACTGTCAGATGATACAGCAAAATAAGATACTGGAACGCTAATTTGTACCTTACCACATGTTGGCGTTGTTTTTTCCAGAATAGACATTGGCCAACACCAGCGGCGGAAGCAGCAGCGGAGAAAGAACATCCAGATTTGCTCAGGAATAGCGGAACATTTGTGTACACTATATGGTACAATTATTTTCAGTATTTAACGCCGTTTATATGCGTCTTCTGTGTGCTCCACTGTGCAGGTGTGTCTAAGTGTAAGCAAAAGTGAGTGCGTATGTCTGCGTAGGGGATCCTCTTCTTCTTACCCTAATGATAGGCTGACTCGTTAGATAGTGGAAAACCGAATACATAAGGAGGTGTCGGCGGCGAGCTCAAGTACTTGAAGGCCCGCCTCATAATTGACGCTTCACGATCGTCACGGCATCAGAACCCAGGAATGAACGGGAGAGATCAGGCTAAAACGTGAAAAAAAAACAGTGCGACAAATAGACGACGGTACTAACACGTGGCAATTTTATTGCGTTACCTACGTGCAAGTGCACGCCAGTTCGTATTAAAGAGATTCGTCACGATTATACGAATAGAAATTACAATTTATCGAATGAGGCGCTCGAAGCACTGCTGTAATTAAATTGGTATACTAACCGTTTTCTACTTTCGACGCAGTCGACTAGCATGAGGAAATTAGATCCGACATACATGCCTCGTGCAGGCTCAGACGGGCTGTGTGGGTGGACCTGAGGCCAGCCCAGGGCCACTTAATGGAACGATGGTGGCCATCTGTCCTATGGAGGACACCGGAACCATAGAGCTGGTCATCGCGGAAATAGGTGTTCCCGAAGCGAACGAGTTGAGCGTGTCAAGCGGCGGTGGCGAAAGCGTATCTAGATTTGGTGGAGTTGAACTTCCATTCACCATCTCGACTCCCTCCTGGCCAGGAGTTTCCACAATTTGTTGCATTTCCTCGCGACGCTGCTTCATCAGCATCTTGTACTCGGAGATGCGCAACTTCTTGCCGTCCACAATGCAAGTCCTTTTGGGTCGAGGCCGGTACCTGTAATCTGGATGCTTCTCCATGTGTAGTTTGGAAAGCCGCGACTGTTCCTCGTAGTATGGCTGCTTCTCCGCATTGCTCATGGCCTTCCAGCGGGCGCCGAGAATCTTGGATATGTTCGAGTTATGCATGTCGGGGCACGCCTTTAGGATCTTGCGCCGCTCATCCTTGGCCCATACCATGAATGCGTTCATGGGTCGCTTTATGTGATGCTTTCGATCTACTGGGTCGCGTCCTACACGAATGACCTTAGCACCCAGAAGCGGATCTGAAGAGATCACTTTATTCGGTTCACCGCATTCCGATGACGAGCTATCGGCGGGTTCTTTGTCCAACGGGCTGAGAGAGGAGGGTGGAAAAACATGACCTAGCTCTTTGGCGAAGAGTCTTTGTGGACTAGGGGCTTCTTTTGGATTGGGCAATTTAGAAAAGGCCATGGATAGAAGCGAAGTTGCATTGAACGTCGATTGAGCTCCTGTGAGGTTTGTATTGAAGGGCAGGAGAGATACCGGTCCGGCAAATGGCAGTAAGGCTTGCAGAGCTAACTGATCACCGAAACTCGCCGAAGCTCCAGGGACAGGGCTGGGGCTGTAACAAACAAAAATATTTTGCTTAAAATATTTGTCGCTAAGAGTCGGTGTAGTTACCTTAATTAAGTTCCAATAACTTGATTAGCTTCACCGCGTTCTTAACCGTAAGCTTGAATTAAGCGGCTATCATTCAAGTTCTTCAATAAATATATATACTATTAGGACTTGCCAAACGCAGTGATTAGCACACAGATAGGTCTACAAGTAAGTTTTAGGATTGAGCCAACGTTCAAGCACAGGATAGCTTTGAGAAAAATGTATGCTTTACACGCTACTACGTGTTGCAGTATGTATAATTAGTGTGTAGTATATAATCGGTGCAAACTCACAACATTAATATTACAATTCCAACAAACTGTTGGATATCCCTAATTGTCCTTTAACCTTATTTGCATGACATATGTACGTGTACAACAATGATGACCGCAACGATCCCAGACTTCAGCTGGGCGTGTGGCTGCTGTTACTGATGTAGGCCGCTTAGAAGCAAGTCTTCTTTATTTTAACTGCTGCTGTTGCTTCCCGTTTTGCCGTCCCTCGACGGCACGTAGTCAAGCTGCAGTCGGCCGCCGTCGAGGTATAGAGAACGCTGAAGTGCAGAACTTTGGCGCAATGGCCAAAGCGACCGTATGGCCTGTTGAGGCATCGCGCATGATGTTATGCCATGTCGGTCCCAAGATCATTCGACGCTAGCTTATCCCTTGAGTAGAAAGATCTGATAGCGAACTTCGCCAGAGCGACAGTAACGGTGGTGGTTAGCGGCCGCAACAGCGACAACAGCAGTCTTTTTCTGCTACCTCGAGTGCTATACCTCTTCCGTTTGTTGCTGCCGCGTCTAATAATGATGAGGTAGATGATAACACGGACACTTTACTGACGGTAGTGCTGAAGCTGCCGGTGCTGGCGAGGAAGGCAGAGTGACATGGGCATTCATAACGACTTATTATTAGGCAAACGTCGAGGGTATCACATGTTGCATCACTAGAAGCGACGTAAAAGAGGCAGGGAAGGAAGCAGGCTGCAGGATAAGGAAGAGTAAAGAATGAGTTGAGCAAACAAAGCCCGCAACGAAGGCCTGGGTGGCCGAAAAAGCAGACAAGGACGAATATAAATTGCAAATGATAGCACACGCTTACACACACACTAGAATCTAATAAAACAACAAATCAGCCAGATAGTGCAATGGTCTATGCGCACTGTGGCTGACAGAGCTTCAACGGTATACTGCTGGCGTAGAAGTGATGTACGTGGCCTCTTCCCATCACTTCACCTCCTAGTCATCACTGGTCCTCGCTCGCTATGGATTGTTGTATCTGGCCTAATCTACGCAAGTTTATTGCTCTTATTATGACATACCAAATCAAATACACACACACAGACATATATATGCGGCAACTGTGTTGCAGCACCATTGATAAGCTTCGAATACCCTATTCGCCCTACAACAGGGAGGAAGCTAACTTATTCTCTGACCGACAACGATATCGGAATTAAACTATATGTGATGGAATCGGTAATTATAAATTAAGCTTCTATGCTTTAACTGAACAAGATGGGGGGGAGGGGGGAGGGGGGTGGCATCGTGGAAAAGTGTTAACCCTCTAGCGGTCTGAGTGGGCCGTAACAGCAGCGGTGGGCCAGAAGGTGTCCACGGCGTTAGTGCCCATCTATTAGAGTGTAGGGTACTGGGATGTGGGATCGATTCTGTACAGATCGTCTTATAGCCTTTGCTTAGCTACGTAGGTTCGATCGGCTAATGAATAAAGCCGGATGACTAATGACACTGATTTGTAGTGTTGTTGCTATGAACGGTTAGCTGTTAATGGCAGCCAGCGCTGATGCAATATCGATGGTGGCAAGTCCATCAGGGGCTAAGATCGGCAACGAAAGAAAGAAGCTCACGTGGCAAACGAGTCGCGATTGCGGTGGATCTATCGGCAGACAAAGCGAATAGTAACCGGTGTATATAACCGGTTGATCACGACTTTATCAGACTATTCATTGAAATAGCCGATGCGGTTTAATTCTGTACGCCGGTGGAAGTCAGGCAGTTGCCTATCAATACGCAGACATAAATAAACACACAAAAATGCCGTGCACAGTGACGCCCTCCCATCGCCTTGCACTAATAAACGTAAGTGCATCATTATTATGATGCACAGAGCTCGCCAACAAGCAGAAGCACACTCATTACATAAGCGATACCCTGCAAGCGGTATTGTTGCCCCTGCAGCGGTATATAAGTTGCGGCATAGTCCTATATATGTGTAGTAGAATTTGAGAACGAAAACCAACGGCGGACACAAACTAATGACAAGAGCAATTAACACTTAACGAAAAAAACAAAAAATCTGAAAATGACTTAAATCCTCTAATATTTCGTTTATTCGATATAGCTCTAGAAAGAATCAATATGGAAACAGAAAAGGCATTATTATAACGGCTGCTACTGGTACTGCTGATTGTTGCTCAGTAATTACATTGGCTTCACAAAAAATGGACGCATCACCACGGGTAACTGCGGCGCTAGCCATATCACCGAATAATGAGCAAAATTAAATTAGCGTTACAGCAAGTAATTACAGATAGGCATAGGGGAAATAGAGGGAAAGGAAGAATTATTGATGTAACGGTCAGGATTAAACCGTCTACAGTTTAGCTCATTTTTTCTTTTCTAAAACAGAAAAAATTTCCTGCTCCATCCTTTTCCTTCCAGCTACTGGCGCTACCGCTGCATCTGCTTAATCAAATGCGTAATCTACTCGTTTGTGACCTGTTGTCTTCTAGGCTCTTGTCTGTGATCCGTGAGACCACCGACAGACTATAGGCGCAGTTCAGAAGCGTCTTTCGCCCGACGCCATTCTACCTCCTTTGCAGATCAAACTCCGTTATACGAATTTTGGCTGTTCTTCAATCTGATCATATGAATTTGGCAAGAAGAAGTACAACTTTTTCAATTATACTCAAATGCTACGTAGTTCGCATACGCATAAGTGGAACGAAGGCGGCAAAGCAAAAATGTTTGCAGGCCAGTACATGTACCTCTGCGCAGGCACGTCAAAGCCTTCATTCGTCCTAATTCCGATAGAGGTACACGATCAGCATCAACACCGTTTGAGCCCGAAGCACAGATCGAGAGGGAGCCAGCCAAGCTCGACGGAACACATATTCCGAAAGACTGATTAAAACTTCACTCGACACTGGCCACTCATCCGCGCTAACGATATTTTTCAAATGTACACGTTCGCCCCACTCCCCCTTGTAGTAATGAACAACAATAACAGGAAACGTACATTAGAGATATTCATAGCTCATTCACCGGACGCCAGAGTTAGATAGTCAGGCGTGTGATCTTATACGAGAATATGTCACTCGCTCCGATTTCAACGCGTTCCTTGATGCTCGTTTGAACTTGTTAAATGCAGCCTATGTATGTATGTAGGTGTGCGTATAACAGAATAACGGATAAAGACAGATATCTATATATAAACACGTACAACAGAGAGTGGGGGTATCAACATTACGATTATTGTTCTAATATGTCTGCACGTTTGATTATGACTTTAAAATAGGACGGTATTAATGCCAGTATTTTGTATTAGTTGGATGTACGTACAAAGGAAAGGTTTTTGGATAGATCTATGGGTAAATGCACTCGCAGATGTACGAAGGACAAAAGGTTCATAGCGAGATGTAAAAGATATGTCAAGTGATGACACTACATTAGCGAAAGGACAAATAAGCTTAGCTCGCTTGTACATTTATAATAAGCACCTACAACAGGAGGCCCCGTCAGGGTTGCTCGGTTCGAGCCCATCGACTTCATGACACGGCTCTCTCGATTGACGCATTCATTAAGGTGAGAAGATAAGTATATAAGACAAACATTATTTATAGGCACAGGCGCATTTTTACATTTTTCGGCCAACATCTCTAACTAGCATTCTGCTTAGCTCGAAGCTCCCGGTAGGGTAGTTTCTTCAAGAGTCACCAAATGGGTCCACCGTTAAGATCATAATAGAAAAAATGACGAGTAAATGCTATCTGGCTAAGTAATGCGGAGGCGACGGCGGCGCCCGCCACCTTCACTTACAAAATCTATTACAGAGTTTGACATTGCGTCAAGTCAATATTAGCTAACAGCGATACTCACCGTATATATTTTCCATAAGATCAATTTTATTTTTCCCACCTTTCTTCAACAGCTCGGCATTGTTCAGGCTGCTCGATTATTCGATTCAAGATATCGGTGATACTATATAGGCATATACGTATGCAGCGATAACACAACACAAAAAGACCGCTTCTGCTGCTATGTATTACTATGTTGACGCTTGTTTGCCGTCCTATTGTTTGGGATGGCAGCCGTCTCCCACTTCACCGGTTCTGAAACATCAGTGTTGTAGGAATACATTTCGATCAACGACAGGTTCGTGAGCCCGCTAATGCTGAAGTTATATCGGTAGTAGTAGTTGTAGCAGCGCCGTCTCGATTCGAAGATGGGCACGGTGATAATGGCAAGGTGATACCAACAAATTGACGTCTATGACGACAACAGCTGTACGTTGCTTGTACTAAGCGGAGCTTATACGGTTGGAACTGCCGCCAGCCACGAAACATACTGCATTATTCATTCTTTTCTTTCCCCACTACTTGTCGATTTTTCTTTTTTCTTTCATCAATATGTTAATCTAGGGAGAAACGGTTGAATTTGGATTGTTTATATATATAAGTGCGATTTAATCAACGCAGTTGTGGCTGCAGATTACGCGTGGTGCTCGCCTGCCGGCTGCTGCTCTTTTTGTCGGTGTTGCCAAATTTGGTAGATAAAGGAGGTAACCACGAGAGGAGCTTCTGACCCACAGATAATACGTCCGATAAGGAAGAGGCAGGCACCGGGTCTTTTTGAAGCAACAAAATACTGGTAGAAGCAAGGTCAAAAACAAGCAGGGAAAAATTGGTAGACCATTCGAGTGAACCGCGGCGGGGAAGACTATG